GTTTTTAAAGCTGGAAAAGGCAGTTCAAATATGTGACTTTTTTTGCTCAAATTGAAAGAGATGTGGGGCATAAATCAGCTCTATTGAATGGTCAGTATTGAAAATATCACTCACCTTCCAACCTAAATAAAGCTGTGCCACCAGTTCTACTGTAAACCCGCTTTTCGCATGCGTCTAACTCAGGCCCTGATCCTGCAGCTGGATCTCTGTACCCACGCAGAGCTCCACTGACATCAAGGGGATTTTGCCAAGCCACCAAAGTCCATCCAAATGGGTCCAATTGCACTATCAGAGTATTGTGGTTAATATTTGCTCTGCACTGAAACTTAAGATAGAAAGGTCCTACAGCCTAGAAGTAAATGTTAGTTTTTTATTTCTATTTCATCAATTATATATTAAAAATTTAAGTGCAAACGAATCAAAAGAAATGCATATACTAGCATGAGCACAACAGGTTACAATGAAACTCGGAAAAATATAAACAAATACGTTAAAAGAAATATTATCTATAAAAGAATGTTGCTTTCCACTGCCTTTATTATGGATTTACTCAAATCCCATGATATAAGCAGGCAGTTGTATTCTGCCCATGCTGAAGCTTCTGAGAGCCCTTCAAGGAGAACACAGGAGTTTCTTTTTACCAGAAACAAACTAACCACTAGACTATATTGCCTGTCTGAAGGTCCATCAATGCCCTAAACGTTACATGCCCCTTGTTAATGCTATCTTTAGGATGAAGGAGATACCTGGGACAGTAATTCACAGGAAAACCATAGGACTTACTGGAGCTGCAATTTAGCCTTCAAGTGTCTACCCACTATAGGGGTCAATAAAAATGATTACAATCTCTACCAATTAAGCATGGAGTGCTGCCATGTATTCTCAATTTTTTAAAAGATGATATATTAAAAAAATCTAGGTCATCTTTTGTAGGAATGCTGACCTTTAAAATGCTGAGTTCACTCTTTTTTAAATGACATTTAACCACCTGCCGTTGTTATCTGATCTGGTAGAAGTGAGGTATGACACTTGGTTTCTTGAACCCTCACACTGCCACCAGTAGTATGCATGTAGTAATATCGATTCAAGCTAGCTCTATTTAGGAATCCCAAAATTAAAAATTTTTAATTTCTTGTACTAAACACCTGGCTTTTTCCCCAAGCAAGTTACCATGGCTCCATGGGCTACTTACAACAGACAGAGTTACCACTACATAAATCACACAAAACTGTGGAAACAGGCCAAGAATCTTAGCCTTCCACTCCAAAACTATAGACCTGGACCACTTGAGCTAAAGGAGAATTTCCTTAACTAGGAGTAGTAATAGATCCTCTACCCTTCCTGTAGAGCAGCCAATAGAGGGTAACATCACACATTCAGATATATATATAGACAGTATTATAAAATATTAATTTCCTTTTATTGGGATCATAGCCTTTATCATAGCCATAGAAAATAGGAAGTACCAAGGTCCATTAATACTCAGCTTTCTACAATTCCAAGAAACAGGTTTTGGAATACAAAACCAAGAGATGACCCCTACATGCATACAATGGGAAACTCCTGGGTGACATACTTGCCGAAAGGCCCCTTCCTCTGGATCTCCCAGTGTATTTTGTCTTGCCTGTCTGTTTAGATCATGAGTTCCCAGGGACAGAGATTATCCATTTTTCAGTGTTTTGTTGGAGCTACTGATGCTTAGCAAATAAGGACAAAATAATGTATTAATAATAGGCAGATAGAGCCTTACAGGATGCTTGAGTGATAAAATAAAAAACCTCTAGGAAAAATTTTCTCCTGACCCCAAATCAGGAAGGCAGTTTGACCCCATGCACATGAACAAGAATCAGCATGAGTAAGTATCTAAACACACAGACACCCTGAGATACCAATGGGACCCAAGTAACTCTCTGTGATTTGTTCCCCTAATTTCCCAGCAGTCTGACCACCAAAGAGCCATTAGATGGGGACCACTTGCAAGAAAAATTGTTTTTAAAAAGATGTCCATAGTCCACATTTTAAGAATGTGTGTATACCTAAGTATCTCAATTTGCACACACAAGGGCATATTTGAGTATGTAAATAGATACTTAGAGGTCTAAAAATGTATATGTGAAATTACTGAGACTGCAGACACAAACTAGGAATTTTCACATGTACATGCCTGGTTTGCAAAAGTATAATCACGTTTACAGTGCATGCAAATTTAATCATACAAATAAATGTGCAAAACATCAGCAGTCTTTTATTTTTACATCTGGCCGAACAAGGGACTTGAACTGGTGCTGACCTAGAAGCGAAAAGCTCTGAGCTTCATTGTCAGATATACCTTGAGCTACCCCAGTTGCCCTTTTCATTAAATCCAAATGGCTCTTTTTCACGATTTTGATTTCCAAAGAAAGAAAATAGGAGTCAAATAGTTTAAAATGCATTTTTGCACTGTTCCAGCTCTTAAGGCTTTGTGCTTTAAGTGGAATTTTTGCAGGTCATTAGTTTATAATGTGAACCGGTGCCTCTGGGTATTCTGAAAGGGGTGGGGGGGAGCAACCCAAGTTATTTTGTTTAGAAATGCAGTTTCCTGGGCTGGTACAATCATTTATTTCAGCTAGAACTTCAGATACGTTTTATACATACATTTAGAGCCAGATGCTGTGTTGAGAACCAAGGTGAATGAAGTACATGCTGTGGCTTTCTGCAAGCGATATGCACCCTGAGTCTTGGATCTGAGCTCTCCCCAGTGTAACAGCTGTACATAAAGAAGTTTGTTTCAGACCAGACCCTAGTATTAACCCTCTTATCTGATACCGCCAGTGTCTCACCTTCTCGCTAGTCTTCTGGGAGTGGGAAGGCTGGCATGGAAGCACTGCTGAGACTGTTTCCACTCCCCGACTGATTTTTCTGCTCTAGTGCCTGTGAATGACACTCAGTTCTGCCTGACAGACAAGGACAGAGCAGGGTTCTGAGTGCCAATCAATGGAGCATGCCGCATGGTGTAATTGGAAAATACTCTGCTTCTGGAATAAGATGAAAATATCACTCTTAATAGAAAGCTGTGGCCAAGAGCAATGTAATTGGGGAATATTAAATTGACATACTCATTTTGTAAGGCTAATTTAAAGAACCCAGGGGTGCAGTTTTTACCAGTGACGAGCCTGAGCTATAGAGTTTGAATCCAGATCTGAACTTTGCTAGAGTTTGTGGGTGTTTGGATCTCGAAGACTGTTTCAGCTCCACCAGCTATGCTTACTTCATTCAGAAAGCATGAATGTCTGAAGAAACACTTTAGCTTTTCATTCACTAGTCTTCCTTCACCATAATCAAATCCTTCCTTATCAATTGTCCATCTAAGTTATCCATATGACCAGCTCAGTGCATAACACAGATTGCAGAACACATGTAATCAGCATTAATAATGCCAATCAGAGTGTCTGAATAACACAACCACGAGTAAGGAAATTTTTAGTAAATTTCACAGCAGAGAGGAGGGGGGAAAAAGAACAGTAAGTCCCAGAAAGGTCACCAAACAATATAGTTTTTTTCTACAGCATACACAGGAATACAGTGCAGACAGTGAAAGGTGAGACCCAGAGGGTAAGGGATTGGAGAGAGAGCCCATCACACATTCACCCTGCAGCGGCAGCTCTTGTACCTTAGGGCTGGGCCCAGCTCCCCGCACCAGGCATTGTGACTTGTCTTACTGGGTCACGGCACCACTCAGGTTTGGCCCCACCCCCACCTCCAGCCCTCCTACATGGAGATGGAGTGGCAGATAGGCTGAACCTGCGCCCCTGTGCAGCAGTTCACAACACCATTTGGTTTGGGGACCCAGCCAAATGTATTTTTAGCAGCCATTTCCAAGATTTCACAAACTTTACAGTGGCCATGGAAAGCACGAATTTGAATAATTTCCATGCCAAAATCATAGCCCTAACCATGAGTCACAAGGCATCTTTTATTATTGTGTATCTTCCTTGGGTTCTTTATCTTTCGTGCATTCAAATTTTTGGTCCCCTCCTTATTAGTGATAAACTCAAGACAGGTATTGAATCACCCAATAAAATCTGACTAATGTGGTCAAAATTGATCAAAATAAAGGAACAAAGTTTTGCTATTTTTATTAACATTGTTCCTGAGGGGTTGATCAAATCAATCAGAAAGTCAAACCAACCGGCAATTGAATTCAGTGAGATGCACTATACTTTGTGGTCAAAATTTTCAAACATGGGAAAACTAAATCCATATTAAGAAAAGGAGGACTTGTGGCACCTGAGCATAAGTGAGCTGTAGCTCACGAAAGCTTATGCTCAAATAAATTTGTTAGTCTCTAAGGTGCCACAAGTCCTCCTTTTCTTTTTGCGGATACATATTAACACGGCTGCTACTCTGAAATAAATCCATATTAGGGGACCTACATAACAATGATCTGATTTCAGAGGTGCTGAACGCCCACACCTTCCACTGATGTCGCCCAGGGTTGGAAAGTCTAGCCTGCACTCTTCCAAGCAGCCTGCAATCTTCTACCTTCCTAAACTCACTGAACTGCATGCCCAACAAAGATTCAGAACTTTTTACAATACACATCTAGCATTATGTCAAAACCAATAGCCTATAAAGCAAGTGACGTAAAGTTGTGGGTAGCAGTGTGGTTGTGAATTCCACCGGCACTGTATCTTAAAAACACAACCGAGACCGAGACCTCATCGTGCTAGGCACTGTACATACAGAGAGAGAAAGAGAGAGAGACAGTCCCTGCTCCCAAGAGGTTATAATCTAAATAGATACGGCAAACAAAAGGTGGCATTAACAAAACTAAGGCACAGAGAGTTGAAGTGACTTGCCCAAGGTCACACCGTAGGTCAGTGGCAGAACCAGTGGCAAAACCCAGGAAAGAACCCAGTAGAGCACCCTATCCACTAGATAACACTGCTTCTCTTTATGCTTACACTCTCTCTTCCTTTCTCAATATAATTTGTTATGGGAAACTCTAGAAGCTGACATACCTTTCCAAAGATAAGTGAACATGCTGAGAAATTCTTCATATGTCTGCTCCTGGCTATTAATAAACCGATGGAGGATACTGTTGTTTGACGGTTGCTTTTCCATCATCCACAACCATGACAGTCAAACAGGCATACCTGTTCTAAGCGGATTCTTCTGCAATGAAAAAAGGGAGAACTATATATAATAACAAAGCCTTTTTTATTCTGCAGGCAGAAAACAAATCAGAGGGTCTTTTAACTTCAGAGGGAGTTTCTCTAGTTAGCATAGAGCAGGTAAGCACTGGAATTCAGAGAATCAGCTATTTCTCTCCTTCTGTAGGCCGTGATTCCTTCACTGGGGTTCCTGGGAGGCACAGGGAAAGGCTTTTGTAGGATTAGAGCCATAGTTATTTCAGGCACATTTAGATGACAAGTAGTGGCCTATCTGAATCCTGGGAGAAAGAAAGTGTCTATCCATAGAACAGGTACTACATGGGAAGCGCAACAGTGCTTGTATCTCCCAGAATGTCCTACCAAAGTGCTTCCATCCTGTTCAGGAGGGACTATGTCTAAGTAGTTCAGTCATACTGCCTGTCCAACCCTTACTTTCTTTGCTGAGAGGGTGCCACTTAGCACTAGTTGTGGTGCTGGATTTTAATGATAGGGACACGTGTACACAGGGAACTTGGACTTAATCCACCAGCTCACTTCATAGGTGCATCTTGTACTATATTCTCAAAGCCACTAAACCAAGCTTTGGAAGAATGTGATATTACATTATTATTTATTTGTATTGAGGTAGAACACAAAGGCCCCAATCAGCACAAGGGACACATTGTGGAAGGCAAAGAATAAATGCCAAGGGACCTCCATGGACAATGCTCTGCCCGTCTCCAGGAATTTAACACTCTAGCTAGACAGCTGCAGCATTCCAACTGATCTTGACTCTTTCAATAGGGCATAGGGAAAGTGACAGCCCCTGAGACAGTTGCATTTCAACTACATTGAAGTTAATGTTGTACAGTGCTATGTATTATTATTATGGAAATTCAGTACATATGGGACCCTAAAGGAGGGAATCCAGGCTAGCGTGCACACATGCATACAGTAATTTCTACATTTTACGGCAGACCCACACTCAAGTGGACATGTGGGAGCCTAGCTGTGCATGTGTAACTACCCAGTTTGTATACACAATTTTTATAGATGTGTATGCATATTAAGCGTGCAATTATGCACAATTTTCTTCACGCTGCCCATGCCTTCTTGCCTTTTGGAAATGCGGTTGTTAATTTTCAGGGGCGTTAAGAAATAACTTTAGAGGTGAAAACCTGCTCCACTGAAGTCAATGGCAATACTACCGTTCATCTCAATGGGGCTACGTTTATTTATCCCTTTATTTTGGATTTGCAGTTAAAGCAAACCCAGAACATCCAAACCACAGCATCAAAATAACCGTGAAATCTAACTCTGTCGTGCTGTTGATTGTCACAGGAGGTGATTGTTCTGAAGTTTAAAATAAACCGAAACACATAGAGCCCAAAACACAGAACTTTAAGTTTCACTAAAAACAAGCTAATATTAACCACTCTAGGCACTGACCGAGCAGATAATCATTTACCAGACGGACAACGTGGTTTATGCAAATTCTAGTGGTTTTCAAGGGGAAGCAATGCTTTTTTTTTTATTTTTTTCATCACTCTTCAGTTATTAGAGTCACTACTCTAAGTAAATATCACTGTGCAAAAGGCTAAAACTTGTAAGAACTTATGAAAGAACCTCATTTGTTAATCTAAGATCTAAATACTAATGACAATGCTTTGCCCTTCTGCAGCACCTTCTAGCTAAGGATCTCTACGTGCTTTTCAAACATGAATGAATTCAACTCACAACCCTCCTGGGTGGTAGGTGCCAAGAAATATTATCCCCCTTTTACAAACAGTGAGTTAAAGTGATTTGCCAGTGAGCTAGTGGTAAAGCTGGGAATACAGCCAATTTCTCCTAATGACCCTTTGCTCTATTATATGCTAGTATCTTAGACCAGTGGTTCCCAACTTTTGAACATAAGGTAAGAGCATAAGAATGGCCCTACTGGGTCAGACCAAAGGTCCATCTAGGTCAGTATTCCGTCTTCTGACAGTGGACAGTGCCCGGTGCCCCAGAGGGAAGGAACAGAACAGGTAATCATCAAGTGATCCATCCCCTGTCGCTCATTCCCAGCTTCTGGCAAACAGAGGCTAGGGACACCATTCCTGCCCATCCTGACTAATAGCCATTGATGAACCTATCCTCCATGACTTTATCTAGTTCTTTTTTGAACCCTGTTATGGTCTTGGCCTTCACAACATCCTCTGACAAAGAGTTCCACAGGATTACTGTGCGTTGTGTGAAGAAATACTTCCTTTTATTTGTTTTAAACCTGCTGCCTATTCATTTCATTTGGTGACCGCTTGTTCTTGTGTTATGAGAAGTAGTAAACAACACTTCCTTATCTACACCAGTCATGATTTTATAGACCTCAATCATATCACCCCATAGCCGTCTCTTTCCGAGCTGAAAAGTCCCAGTCTTATTAATCTCTCCTCATACGGAAGCCATTCCATACCCCTCATCATTTTTGTTGCCCTTTTCTGAACCTTTTCCAATTCCAATATATCCTTTTTGAGATGGGGCGACCACATCTGCACACAGTATTCAGGATGTGAGTGTACCATGGATTTATATAGAGGCAACATGATATTTTCTGTCCTATTAGCTATCCCTTTCTTAATTATTCCCAGCATTCTGTTCGCTTTTTTGACTGCTGCTGCACACTGAGTGGATGTTTTCAGAGAACTATCCACATTGACTCCAAGATCTCTTTCTTGAGTGGTAACAGCTAATTTAGACCCCATCATTTTATATGTATAGTTGGGATTACGCTTTCCAATTTGCATTACTTTGCATTTATCATTATTAAATTTCATCTGCCATTTTGTTGCCCAGTCACTGTAACTCTTTACCAAACTAAGACACCAGCTGTGTTCATCAGTGACTTCCCAATCCCCAATGGGGGCTGCGGGAAGCAGCGCGGGCCGAGGGATGTGCTGGCCGCCACTTCCCAAAGCCCCTTTCGGCCTGGAGCAGCAAACCGCAGCCAGTGGGAGCTGCGATCAGCCGAACGTGCAGACACGGCAGGTAAACAAACTGGCCCGGCCCACCAGGGAGCTTACCCTGGTGGGCCGTGGGCCAAAGGTTGCTGATCCCTGAACTAAAGATTAGGCCCAAGATGTAGTGTTTCAATCTGGATACAAACTTTCCCTAAATTTCCAGGGGTCTACTGCAGGCCTAGTAACATTAGGAGTTGGTGACTAGGAAGAATCAGGTGGATTCTTTATAGAAGCATAAGGTTCTATCAATCATAAAAAACCTCCAGTTTTCCAGATCATGAAATATGCAGATAGCTTTGCGTGTGGATTCTACACCCAAATGATCTGTTCATTCTAATTCTAGTCACTCTGGAGAAGTTTGGGGTTCTACGTTGCATGGGTCTGGATGATAAGGGTTGAGACTTGGACTATTACCATTCTTGAAATTGACAAGTTGTACATGACTGGAAATGTGTTAGGAAAACTGTCCCAACACTATCTACCTACATTCTCATACTGGCATATTTTTACTCCATTGTGGCTTCCTGCTGCATCCCTTCTACACCAGTCCCATGTCTCTCTTAAATAAAGACCATCAGTTGTTTCAGACTGTGTCAGCCCTGTGCAGAAGTTTTGTGGTGCAAACAAGGGAAACCAGGCTGACCAGCAAACTCTCATTTTCATTTTTGAGCTAACCCATATCTGAACCCTTCTCTCCAAAAGCGAAAGGCTAGTGCATTCATACAATTCACAATATACAAGAGGCACCGAGCTGAACTCATATCAACAAAGCAACTGAGTTTCCCTTAGCTTAACATTCTGGATCTCCTGATGCTTGAGAATCCTTCAGGATTTCTACATTTGATGTGCCATATTTCTCGGGATGCAACTTTTTAAGGATTTGTTACGCTGTGGTACCTCCACCCAATCTAGAGGAAAAGAGACAACACAGAACCAGAAAGTTGGCAGGGATTGAAGTCAATTTTTTGTGTTGCAGAGGAGAGAATCACACTGAAGGAAGAATAGGGGCATACAGAGCCTTTCAAAGGAGGATGGCTGAGCGGTAAGATGCTCAATGACAGTCCTGAGAGACATGAGTGAGTCTTGCTCAATCTCACAGTGAAAGGCCACCACCAGTTCACCCAGCTGTAAAACAGATACCTGATCTATTGGGCTAGGGCAGTTGGACATGATGCTGGCTACATCACTCCCTTGTGTATTGTTAGCTATGACATGAATGTGCCTGAATCACACCAGCCTGATGAGCCCTTGGCTTGGGGGAACTTTGACTGCTAGGTCACCAGTTCAAATCTAGCTCAGGTTGGTATCAGCCAAAAGGCACTGTTGCATGACAGCTGTTTGGCTGCCTATGTAAAATATGTTGGAGAATTAGTCCAATTCCTAGTGGAATGTTGCTGTTGCTGACAGTCTTAATAATGAGAACAAGGCCTGAATGGACCATGGTGACTGATATCATCCTTTTTCTCCCCAGAGGCGGTCCCTCCAATACATCAAAGGAGTTATGAAGTTGCTCCTTGGGGGAAGCAGATGTCAACGACTCCTGAATCCTTTCCACTTGTTAGAAGCTCTGTAGGGAAAGTATAACTGGGTTAAAAAAATAATTAGGTAATTTCATGGAGAATAGGTCCCTCAATGGCTATTAGCCAAGGTGATCAAGGATGCAACCCCATGCTCTGGTGTCCCTAAACTTCCAACTGCCAGAAGCTGGGACTGGATGACAGGGGATGGGTCACTTGATAATTGCCCTGTTCTGTTCATTCCCTTTGAAGTATCTACACTGGCTACTGTCAGAAGACAGGATACTGGGCTAGGTGGGCCATTGATCTGACCCAGTATGGTTGTTTTTACATTCTTATGAATAGTAACAGAATAAGAATTTCTGAAAATGATGAAGCAGAAACCAATTTTTTTCTTTTAGAAAAATTTGCATTCCTTTCCTGCTCATCCATCCAAGTTACAGTAATGAGGTCACTTCAGGCTATCATTCATTAAGACTTGCTGATCATCAGCAGATTGTGCAGAATCAATTTTATTTCCCAAAATGTAGTCTTCCTCTCAGCTGTATAAACCAGACCAGAAATGTCTGCAGTGAATCCCAGAAGCAAGTTGGCTGAGTATTAGCATGATTTCAATTACACAGTTATTAATTCCACTAAACAATGAAAAATGTAGTAGCTATGAAACATGGATTTCTTGTTTTATACAGCATTTTTGAGTACTTCATTATGATTTTTAAAGCCATTATATTTTTTAAACCAGTGAAAGCAAAATGAACTTACAAATTTGTAAACTGAAAAAGCAGCAGTGCCCAACCACACATAGAAAAATCCTACATAATTCTACTGTTCAGAAATAAATATTCCACCACTGCATTATGTGGTATAGTCTCTTTGATTTTCATACAACAGGCAAAGTCACATTCCAATGCTGGGAATTTGGATCTATCAACAATCATTCTCAATCAAAACAAGTAATTAATTAGTATAGTTATTTATAGAGCACTATTTAGATGCATGGTGAGATACAGGAAGACAGAGTCACTGTCCTGAAGAGTTTATCATCTAAATCTGAATGTCTCAGGCTCCACAACTGTATTAGTTTAATGTCTGATGCTCTGTTTTCACTGTATAGTGCCTGATCCATTCCCCTACACAGTCACTCCACTACCTGTATCGGACTCAATCATTGTTTTCCAAAGCTCCTTGAGATACCCAGATTATAAAACCAAAATCTGTTCTCTTCCAGCCTAAATGACAGTGATAAGCCACATACATTTCTATAGCACCTTTCATCAGTAAAACTTACTAACTTTGCTCTTGCACCAGCAAAACTTCCATGCAAGGAACTTCCTTTGGGCTGAATTGTGGCCTGGCTAGGGTGGCACCATAGGGGCTAAAGGAAAGCAAGGCATGCAGCAGCGTAGGAGGGGAATCAGGCCAGGGAAGTCTGTTACCTCCATTCCTCATGCAGTTGGGCGGGACATGGTGGGGAGTAGATGAAGCCTTGGCTACATAGCTACGCTGGCAAATTGGGAAACATACTCTGTAGCAGGTATAGACCTAATGCCGTTTACTCCCTCCCCAGAGCAGCAGGCTGACCAGAAGGGAGATCGTACCTCCCTGAGTAACACTGTCCCTCCCAGGCTCCTCTAGTGGCTGTGCAACAATATGCTGTCCCTTACACAGGGCAGACTGTAATGTCACAATTTACCCCTTTGACATGAATACCATAGAAATCCCATAGATTATCAGATAGATAGTTGGATATAGATATTGCTATGACCTCCTTAATGAGGATAATGTACCACTGTCCTCTGTTGCATAGAATCAGGACAGCTGAAGTGTGCCTCATGGACCCTATACTGTTAACACATACAGACATTTCTCATTTAGCCTATGCTTCTGAAGCAAGAGTGTCTGAGTTCTGTCCGCACTGTCACAATGGTGATCAGCATGGAGGTCACCATGAAGTCTTAGGTGGCTATGGATTTGCTACAATATTATTATTATTGAAATAAACAATGAGTTAGCATCAGGTCTCTGTAGGGAAGAAGTAAATGTTAGTCTAAATTAAGCAAGTGTGCTTCATAACATGGTGCAATTGACAGATGGGTCATAAGTACCCTGCATTTCACAGTCCTATCCCTGCCTACTGGACAGCTCAAGAACCTCAGTGACAAACTCCTCGGAAAGCTGTGGTCCATCCACCTTGGCCAGAATGGCAGTCGCTGTAATATGTTTACTCACAGTAAATCATTCAGCCACTAGATGGTCCTATGTGCTGTATAGTTCCAAACAGGGTGTGGTCCCTGGTAAACAACAGAGACAAAGCTGGAACTCAAGCTGAATGGAAGCCTGTTTGTCTGTAGTTGTAGCTTTTTTCTTCCTGTTGAAGAAGAGCTTAAATTGGTTCCATATATCATAATAGTCACTACAGCATGGTACCTCAAGAGAACAGAGAATAAAAGAGATATAAGAGGGGTCATGCTTAGGGATCCCTAACTTTCTCAAGACAGGAGCAACAACTTTTTAAAAACTACATTCCTCTATAACAGTTTCACATATTGGTTGGCTTGCAACACTACAGTTGTACAGAAAAACTCCCGCCCCTCCTTGTGTTACAATCCTGCCCTACCTACCTCCTCCCCCCACCCCCAGCCACCTGCAACTAGACAGCAGCTCCTGGAATGAACTTTAAAGAAGACCCTAAGCAAGCCTCTGGTTATGAGCAGGTGCAGATCAACTGAACTATATGAACGAACTCAAAGCATGGATGTTTCAGTTATGAAGGAGAAAAACTTTCAAATGATTCTTGGATGTTTCTTGTTTCAGTTCAAACTATTTTCAAGAGCTAGGGGCCTGATCCCACTGAAGTCACTGGAAGCTTCTCACTGACTTTAGTGGGAGCAGGAGCAGGTCTTTAGCTGCACATGTGTACAGCACCCATTTACTTGACTGGGATTTGCTTGTGCTTTAATAATACTTGGCCCTAAATCTCATCTTTGCAGATGCCCTGCTATCTAAGATCTTTAACTGCAAGCAACCATATTGCTCTCATTTGATTGTGGAAATATTTGCCTGAGTTCAGTGCCTAATTAGTTGTTGTGCATTCCAAATGGCTCTAACAGTGCTGCCTATTTAAAAGATTATTTAGGGAAAGAAAAGAATTGGGCTGGCTACAAGGGTAAATTTCTTGTGCAGCAAACTTGTTTTTTCTAAAACCAGCAGTCACAGTCCCATGAGGTGTGACCTTTTCAGATCTCAGAGACTAAGCACTGGTGGGTTTCATCAGCTCTGGTATGGGAGGCCTCCAAAGAAACCTCATTTGCTTCAAAAGGTAATGTTGGGAATGCAGTTGGGCACTCTTTCACATTGGGTACATCTACACAGTGAGCAACAGTACAGCAGCGAGTTCAGAGCTCGGGTCAATAGACGTGAGTTGATGGGGCTCCCACTACAGAGCTAAAAATAGCTGTGCAGACACTGAATCTTGGCCTGGAGCTTGGTCAACCCCCCTCCCTGGGCTTCAGAGCCTGAGCCCGAAAGTCTACACTGCTATTTTTAGTGCCATAGCGCCGGTGCCAGGAGCACGAGTCTGTCTCTGAGACTCGCTGCTGCAGGCAGTCTAGACATAACCTATGTCAGTGCTGAATGCCTAGCAGGGCCATCCCTAGGCAGGTGCAGGGCCCGGAGCAAAAGTGATGAATCCGTCACTTCCAGGACCGACCATGCCCGGCGATGGCCAGTTGCACTGGCAGCCCACCGGGCCCCCCAAAGCCCGGGGCTCGGAGTGGTCACCCCAATTTGCCATACCCAAGGGAGAGCTCTGATGCCCAGTAAGGTATAGTGTTAAAGGGCACTGTTCTGAGGTCATTAAGGACACCATGTTACTTTTCACCAGAGCCAGTGTCAGCTCTACAGCCCTCTGACAATTGAATAAGAGACATTCTTCACTCTCCATAGCAAACTGCTGTATATTACTGCAGTGCACGGTTAGCCAACTGATGAGTTCCACCTCACAGGTGACTGCATGTCATTGGCAGATGTTTTTTGAAATTTGTAAAGCAATTTGGAATCATTTGGAATGAAGGATCATGTATTAAATGTAAGAGACATATTTCAAATGAATTCCCGTAGAAGAAATAAACCAATTGAAACAATATGTCCAGGATATCAAGTAACCAGGGAAAGACCTGCTATCTAAATTCATTTTATTAAAATACTATTTTTAAAGGAATGGGTCTATTAAATGGATACAGTTTTTGTATGGTGCTATGCCTTTAACTGCCAAACAAATTCAGGAGGAGAATCCAACATTTTCATGTTAGGAATCTGAGTGTACTGAGCACACATAAATGTGTACAGGATTCTTCTGATTTCCCTTGTGGACAGGTGACTCTAAATCTACCTATTGCAGGATTTCATCCCCCTTCCTCTGAAGGAGCTGATCACTGGTGGAGAAAGGCAACTGGACTAAAAAGACCATTGTTCTCATCCAGTAAGGCAGTTCTTCTGATTAGCATTCTGTTGCAAGCAAAGTTTAACCTCCCTTTCCTCTGAGCCAAATTAATCATGTCAGAAAGACAAGCATTTTCTAAGGACAAGACACACTAACTGACACAAGGAGAGTAAAATGAATCTAAAATATGAGGCGAGGCACTAGAAAAAAATTGACATTTTCTTTTGACATCTGTGCACCACTTCTGCAGTCAGACCAACTTTTCCTCTGATCAGACAAACTAAAGAGGGTCAGGCTGGGTCAATACTTGGATGGAAAACTGACAAATCTCATCTAGGTGCTACTGGAATAGAAATGAACCTGATCTGAACAGCCCAGAATTTTGGGGAAGTTCGATTCTGGATCTCAACATTGTGGTTCAAGTCCATCTTTACTAATGTGATGGCCTCCGAGTGTCAGCACTGAAGCAATGTATCAACATGGATGTTACAGGACACTGTGCTGCTGGAGGTGCCATATATCAGGTGAGACATAAAGCCACCCTTATGTCTGCATTATAGTCATTAAAGGTTCCTGGCACTTTTTACAAAAGTGTATTCACCCTGATGTCCTGGCCAAATTCCAATTCAGGCTCTTTCCATTTAAATTCCCACTGCACTTTCAATTGGACATAGGGTGACCAGACAGCAAGTGTGAAAAATCGGGACAGTGGGAGGGGAGTAATAGGCACCTATATAAGACAAAGCCCTGAATATCGGGACTGTCTCTATAAAATCAGGACATCTGGTCACCCTAATTGGATACCAGATTGTTCTTAACTGTTGTGCGGAGTTGCTCTGTGATGTAAAACAGCTGCCGTGTCCCACCTTCAGAGGCTGCTGTATTTCAGTGGTAGCTGAAATGATCCCTTGCCAACCACAGAAGGGAGCTGGTGAGGCAGCTGTGAACACTGTTCCTGCAAACACTGAGTTGCTGAGTGATCATATAGGCAAGTCACTTACCCTCTCAGAGCCCCAGTTGCTCCATCTGTAAAAGGGATCTATTCTCAGGGGAGTAAGGAGGCTTAATTACGGTTTGTGTGAAAAGGATTCTGAGGAACTCTGATTAAAAGTGCCACAGAAGTGTGCAGAGTACTAATATTCTTTTAGAGCCTGATCCAGAGTCCTTTGAAGTCAATGGAAAAGTTTCTATTGACTTCAGAGGGCTTTGAAACAGAGTTTAAGCCTTCACTTACTGGGTTGCGCGCACTTACTACTTCTTTTACTCAGTTTCAATGTCATAATCTATTTATAGCCTGAGAATTCCAAGGGGAAAAAAATTATTCCAATCAAAGTGTTGAGGATTGTTTAAGTTTGTAGATATTAGAATTCCAAACGTTGTCTTTGAATTTAGCAGTGACTTTATAACATAGTAGTATCCAAAAGCTGCAACAAAAATCAGACCCCGTTGGATTGGTCACTGTACAAATATCAAATAAAAAACAGCATTTGCCCCCAATGAATTTACCATCTAAATAACAGATGTCTACTGTCACTCTGAGCTGGCTAGGCATGAACAGGTTAAACTTCTAAAGGTGCAAGATGGATTTCTTTTTGCACCATCTGAAGAAAAAAAAACGGTCACAGACAGTTAGCCACATTAGAGGAGTACTAAGGAGCACATCTGCAAGCTAAGCATACATACCTTCTGCCTGCCTGCTTGTCCATGCCACAGCCCCTCTTTGTGCAGTCACAGAAGATTCCACAAGTGCTGAGCTTTCGAATCCCCGTTACAAACAAAAGGTTTCAGGAGGAAGCAAAAACCCTCCATCAGCCAGGTAGGTCTAATACGTTTATTGTTTTACCCAAACAAACTCTGGGTGCCAAAGTTAGAGAAAGCTTTGAGAAATGTTATCTACATGCCTCAGTAATTGGTTGGTTTAGACTAGAGCTGTCTGGGGGGTCCAGATAGGAATCTGATCCTAAAGAATTGAGGAGTTACATTTGCTTCTCAGCCTACAAGTCTTGGGTGTGTGCTGTGGGGTTAGACCGAGGTCCTTCAGAAGGCCCTAGGTTCATCTTTTTGAACAAAATGCTGCAATGGCAAAACCATCAGAGAGGAAAATAGATGTAATCTTGTGAAGTAGTTTTTAATCCCTGCACTAAGCACCTGTGTTCCTGCCAAGATGCCAGTGATTGCAGACTGAGGGGAGAATTCGAGAAAACAGCAGAGGGAGCATTTACCAATTCAGACTCTAGAGAGTCAGCAGGCTAACATGCTAATCAAAGCTGTTCAAACAGCATATAAAGTGCTTTGCAAATCTGTTTGTGACTAGAAGCTGAGTTGGTTCACTAGATTCATGGGGTCATATCATTCATTATTTGCAACTTAGTATCCAGACAGCTACCAGGTATTGGTGAAAACAGCTGTGAGTACTAAACTTTTTTTGAATTTTAGCCCAAATAATTATATATTTGAAAATTTATACTAAATAGCAATGCTTGTTATTCATTATTCTCCTGTTTAAATTGCTTCAGTCATCCAATTGGAGAGCAGAAACATTATCATGTGACTTAGGTGACCAATCAAACAGCATTTATAATCAAAGAGGAGACAGTTAAGGAAAAAAAACCAGTTATCTGAAAACTATACATCCCAAGCTTTTCAGTGGATATTTCTGAAAAAACAAAGACATTTTTGCTGGACATGTTGGTAACACAGGTTCTAATACAACCCCCACAACATGATTTTAAAGATGCAGATCTGTATCCACTAGGCACGACAGGATGTTTCAAATCATTTCAGCCAACTCAGTTTTAAAAAGCACCTTTATTCTTTATCCTCATGTAGACAGACTCCTGTTTGAATCCCTCCACGTATTCTCCCTTCTCAACCACATCAAATTCAAGCTTCTTATTACCACTTTCTACACTTTACACAGTATTGCCAGTCCCAAGCATTCCAAAATCATGACTCAAGCCCCAAAAAATCATAAGATTTTAAAAAGTAATATATTCAAGGTTCTTTTTATTTTTCTTCTGGCTTTTGAGCCTTTAGCATGCACACAGATCACGCCCTCACGATTTTCTTCCGACTATGAGGGCTACAAACTTACTTTTTCTTTTAAAATGAAAACTGAGATTCTCATCAAACCACGTGACCTGAAGCTGGGGTTTAATAAAAATACTAGATAGCATAACAATCACAGTAAAATCACAAGATTTGGCAACACTGCCTACATAACTCTGCACCCACCCCACTTATCTGCCCTTGTCTCTTATAGTTAAGGCTAAGATTTTGTCACGGATATTTTTCGTAAAAGTCACAGACAGGTCACGGGCAATAAAGAAAAATTCACAGAAGCCCATGACTTGTCCCTGACTTTTACTAAAAATAACCCTGACAAAATAGGGAGCCCAGCTGTGGGGTCCCACACCACCTGCAAGGGTTGGGCAGCTGTGGGGGCTGCTCCAAGCTCTGGGTGCCCATACCGCCTATGGGGGCTCGGAGCTCCAGAGTTTCCCACCTCGGAGCTCCAGGGTACCCACGCCACCTATGGAGGCTGGGAGCTCTGAAGGACCCCGAGCACCATGACGGCTCAGAGCTGGGGAACCCCCACACCCTGCGGCGGCCGGAAGCTGCGGCAGCCCCACTGCGGCTAGGAGCTGTGGCCCACTGCCTGTGTTGGCTGGGAGCTCCAGGGTCCCTCGCTGCACGCAGAGTCCAGGAGCTGTGGCCCCACATCCACGGCAGCTAGGGGCTGCGGCCCCGCTGCCCATGGCAGCTGGGAACTCTGCGGGGCCCTCAGTACCCATAGCCACATGGAGCTGCAGGGTCTCCCCATTGCCTGCTGCACCCAGGAGCTGCCTGTAGCAGCTGGGAACTCCGTGGAGCCCCGGCACCCGCGGCCACAGGGGCATGGGGACTCTGCAGCTTCCGGCTGACAAGGCTGAATTCACGGAGGTCGCTGGAAGTAACGGATTCCATGACTTCTGTGACCTCCATGAAAAAATCGTAGCTTTACTTACACCCATCTTCTGCTCCACCAATGGTGCCAGGACAAATGCTCATTTGTCCATTTCCCCCCACAATCATCTTCCATCTTGCCCCCTACCCGTGGAACATATCCATGGAACACTCCTGAACCACCACCCTCTCTTCTTATACGAAACCTTTCTCTCCTTTACTCATTGAACCGCTCACTTATGCAGAATGCAGGTGTCTAATGTTGGACATGAGGGATGTGAGATCTCTGGAATTCGAGCTAGTAATTGCTGTTGGGAGATGACAAGGGGAAAGGAAACTTAAGTGGGTTTATTTAACAAAAAAACTTGTAACCAACAAGCTGTTTCTATCAAGGTTTGTGCCTGCCATCACCTCAATCAATCTACCTGTGTTCTCCATGTCCACTGAAGTAGGATAAGAAGTAATGGGCTTAATCTGCAGCAAGGGAGATTTAGGTTAGATATTAAGAAAAACTTTCTATCTACAAGGGTAGCTAAGCTCTGGAATCGTCTTCCAAGGGAGTTTGTGGAATTCCCATCACTTGCAGTTTTTATGAACAGGTTACATAAACACCTGTCAGGGATGGTCTACATATACTTAATCCTGCTTCAGCTCAGGGGTCAGGCCTTGATGATTTCTAGAGGTCCCTTTTAGCCCTACATTTGTATGATTCGATGATTGAATGGCACAATCCTGTTATGACAAAAGGATGCTGCAAATAAATTAGTCAATCTTTTCCATCTCTAATTTCTCTGATCCCCAGAGGTGAATGGAAGAATGGACCCTTCAGTGTTATTTTCCAACATGCTTTGTAAATTTACACATTATTTTAAAGTGAGGATTTAGAATAAAGAAAGCAAATGCAAAACATTCCATTAGAACCTGTCTCAAAGAAGCAGGTAGTGAATGACAAAAGCAAATAACAAATACTAACAACAAAGAAATTGAGCACAATATGAAAACAAACAAAAAACAACTTGGGATTTTCAAACCAAACAGAAGGTGATTAGCTACTGAACACAGGCAGTTTGATACTGTGGGTCAAATTCCTCCCTGAACTACTGTGACCTCCTCCTCTAGGACCTTCATAACACCCACATGGTGACATTAAGTCTAACATGAATTTGGCCCACACATTTAAATAAATTTTACCGTATTTTTATTGTGATTTCTCAAATTTCTCAATGTTCAAATGGATTTTCACTGAAAAATATTACAGTACATCAGGTCTTTTGTGTGTATGGAGAATAGAGTCATTTTTGGACTGCCTGGACTTAAATGTTTCCTCACTCGCAGACTCCAGATTATTGAATAGGGGGTTGTGAATTGTAATCCACAAGCAAGCATTTTATTTACTCTGCAACAAGTATCTTTCTGATGCCTGGATGAGCCACTATCATGTTTACGCCAAGCTCAGTCCATATTCTAAACCAGGGATCGGCAACCTTTGGCAAGCGGCCCATCAGGGAAATCTGCTGGTGGGCCGGGACAGTTTTACCTGCAGCATCCACAGGTTCGGCCAATCGCAGCTGCCACTGGCAGCGGTTCGCTGTTCCAGACGAATGGGGGCTGCGGGAAGCAGCGGCCTGCACATCCCTTGACCAGCGCCGTTTCCTGCGGCCCTCATTGGCCTGGGGCTGCCGATCTCTGGTTTAGAATATGGACTGAGTTTGGCGTAAACATGATATTGGCCCATCCAGGCATCAGAAAGATACCTGTGGCAGAGTAAATAAAATGCTTGCTTGCGGATTACAATTCACAGCCCCCTATTCAATAATCTGGAGTCTGCGAGTGAGGAAACATTTAAGTCCAGGCAGTCCAAAAATGACTCTGTTCTCCATACACACAAAAGACCTGATGTACTGTAATATTTTTCAGTGAAAATCCATTTGAACATTGAGAAATTTGAGAATTCACAATAAATTGGCAACCTTTGGCAAGCGGCCCGTCAGGGAAATCTGCTGGTGGGCCGGGACAGTTTGTTTACCTGCAGCATCTGCAGGTTCGGCTGATCGCAGTTTCCACTGGCCGCAGTTCGCTGTTCCAAACCAATGGGGGCTGCGGGAAGCGGTGGCCAGCACATCCCTGGACCCGTGCCGCTTCCTGCAGCCCCCATTGGCCTGGAGCTGCGATCGGCCAAACCTGTGGATGCTGCAGGTAGACAAACCATCCCAGCCCGCCAGCGGATTTCCCTGACACACAGCATGCCAAAGGTTGCTGATCCCTGTTCTAAACAATATGACTAGGGCGAAAAAGGAAAAACCTACAAAACTGGATTTTCCCATCAGCATACTGGTGTTTAAGTTTTTGTAACCCAGACCAGGGCTTCCCAACCTTTTTCTTTCTGAGCCCCCCCGCGCCCCCCCTCTCCCCACATGCTATAAAAACTCCACAGCTACAACAACTATTTTTCTGCATATCAAAACCAGCGTCAGCGTTAGGGGGGTAACAAGCAGGGCAGTTGCCCTGGGCCCCGCGAAGCTAAGCTGCTCAGGCTTTGGCTTAAGCCGCAGGTGGCAGGACTTTGGCTTTCTGCCCTGGGCCCCAGTGAATCTCACACCAGCCCTGGCTGGCAGACCCCCTCAACCTGCTCGTGGCCCCCCCAGGGGGCCCGGGACACTGGTTGAGAACTGCTGAACCAAAGTATATGGAGGGTCTTTGTGCTCTGCCCCCTTTGTGCTCTGCCACGTGCACTGTGCAAAATAGGGCAAGGAAAATAAACCAGTCTCTGTGGCACCCGGAGTGTACTAGGAGTTTCAGGGAGAGAAATGGAGAGGAGATACACCCTCCGCCTGTCCAGGGGTGCAGCCTGCAGTGTGATATCTTCACGTACACTACCCTGGGGAAACTAAGGCACAAAGGCAGCCCAGCCACTTGCCCCCAGCCCCAGGTCAGCATCCGAGCCAGAAACAGAGCCCAAAACAGACAGGACTGCCCTGCCTCCGGGACAATGCACGCTGCGATCTGAAGCTGGGAGGCGGTCGAGCAGCCGCCCCTGCCCCTGACATGATGTTGACAAACACCGGGAGGGATCCCCCCCGCCCCGTTTACCCACCCCCATGCCCTAGCGCGTCTCCCGAGCCCAGATCGGTCTGCAGCCTCCCTCCTCTCCCATCTCACGGCTTTCACCAGACCTCTGCTCTCACCTCACGAGCCTGCAGCTTAACCCTTCACACCCCGGCTCTGACAACCCCCTACCTGAAACCCACTCTGCGGAGGCCACGGCAAAGCGGCACCGTCCTCCGGCTCAGGCAGCTGCTGGGAAATGTAGTTCCCTCCGCCGGGCAGGTTCCTATTGGGAGATTGAAGCTAACGAGAGAGAAAGAACTACAGTTCCCAGAAGGGCTGTGACTCCAAGTGTCTCTTCAAAAGCAATCCCGGCTGGTAGCCAGCGTAGGTACAGAATGGTTCTGCTATAGGTCTATTGGGGTTGGGAATGTGAACAAGTAGGGGAAATATTCTTTATTAACATTTGAAGTATCAGCAGTAATTAAATACAACAAAACCTGACCTCAGCAACCAACCAAGCAACAGGCTGAGATTAGTTACTTAGTAGAGATGGTGTCCATTTAAAGATCAAACTAACAGCCCAGAGCGGGCCTGGTTCTCCCACCTTTACCCACACAAGTGGTATTTGCTCAAGTGAGTAGTGCCAATCAATGGAGTAAATGTTACTTAACATATGCAAAAGTTATAGAG